ACAGCTCAGACCTATTTCTCCTACCTCTCTTGCCAACTAAGTGAACCCCATGCAAAAACAAAAGGTGGTCAAGTCTGCCCTTTTGTTTATATACACTTTTCTTTGGAGAGGGTATTTTAGCATTCTCAGAGGATGGGAATCCTCAGCTTCAACTACCATCTCTATGAAGAATCCAAGGAAGAGTGTATACAAAGAAAAGGGCACTTAGGGGAATCAGGGGATTAGAGGATAAGGAGAGCAGCCAATAAGAAGTGGTTAGAGTGGGGCACCTGGCTGCCTCAGTGGGTAGAGCATGTGATTCTTGATCTTGAGGTCATGAGTTCAAGCCCCACAATGGGGGTAGTGTTTACTTAATAATAAAAATTAAAAAAAGAAGTGGACAGCAGTAGACATAACAATGAAGACAGGGCAATGTAAAACAAAGAGGAATGGTTATTAACATCAAAAACTTCAGGGGTGCCTGGCTGGCTCTGTCAGAACAGCATACGACTCTTGATCTTGGGGTTGTGAGTTTGAGCCCCACGTTGCATAGAGAGATTACTAAAAAAAAAACAAAACAAACAAACAAACAAAAAAAAACTTTAAAAAATTTTTTAAAAAACTTCAGAGGCCCCACATCTGGCTGCCTGCTCAGCGGGAAGCCTGCTTCTCCCTCTCCCACTCCCCCTGCTTGTGTTTCCTCTCTCGCTGTGTCTCTCTCTGTCAAATAAATAAAATCTTTAAAAATAAAATAAAATAAAAAAAGTAAAATAAAAACTTCAGAGAAATTGGTGGGGGTGGAGGAAGGTAGGAATGAAGGCTAGAAAAAAGCCATTAAATTTGCTGACTCATAATTACTGATTTTTTTTTTTTAAGATTTTATTTATTTGACAGCAAGAGAAGGAACACAAGCAGGAGGAGTGGGAGAGGGAGAAGCAGGCTTCCTGCTGAGCAGGGAGCCCGAAGCGGGGCTCAATCCCAGGATCCTGGGATCATGACCTGAGCCAAAGGCTGACGCTTAACCAACTGAGCCACTCAGGCGCCCCAATTATTGATTTTCAAGGAGTATTTTAATGGGCGCCTGGCTGGCTCAGATGGTTAAGCGTCTGCCTTCGGCTCAGGTCATGATCTCAGGGTCCTGGGATCGAGTCCCGCATCGGGTTCCCTGCTCAGTGCAGAGCCTGCTTCTCCCTCTCCCTCTGCCACTCCCTCTGCTTGTGCTCTTCTGTCTATCTGTCAAGTAAATAAATAAAATCTTAAAAAAAAAAAAAGTATTTTAATAACATTATGGATGCGGAATCCATATTGTAAGAGTTACTTTTTAGTGGAATTGCAGATTATAGATTCCACTTTCAAGAAATTTAATGGTAAAGGGAAATGACACACGAGTTGCAGTCCAAGCAGCAGTAAGATCAAGGTACGATCAGAAATAACCAAGTTATACTTAGAAATGGGGAGTAAGGAGCCAGGATGAGAGTGAGATTGAAATGCAAATCAAAAAGGAAACAAGGATGGGTGATGTCCCTGCAGAGGTATGAGGATCAGGGTTGGAAGAGCACCAGAGGTGAGTTCTGGGCAAGATGGAGACAGAATCCTTTCTTGGAGGCAAGAGGGAAGGAAGTGCCTGATGATAAAGCTATAGAGTGATTTTGAAATGGAAAAGAGAGAAGTTAAGGGAAACTCACAAGATAACTTCAAAATGGTCAGTAAAACTCAAGCAAGGTCTTATGTGAAGGGTCAAGGAAGCAATGTTGGAGTTGGGAGTGTAAAGAAAATGGAGAAGGTTTGGAACTTAGCAACTCAGTGAACAAAAGGATGGCTCAGCAGCTGAGAAGATCCAGGCTAGAATCGTGATTTTGACTTCTCCTTTAAATCAAGGACGCAGTCTTAGATTCCTTTTTATTCTCCATTGTACCTTGCACAGGGCAAGCAAACAATAAATTTATTACCTGGATTATGCTTTTTAAAGCTTGCTTTTGAATGAGTAGAAAAGACAAAAGAAAGAAAATAAGGGAAGTGATAGTAAGAGAAAATATTTTAGCCTTCCCAGGGCATGGGAATCCTGGAAGTACTCTGCTTGCCTAATGACCTTTAAAAGTCACTTACTTTCAATACTGGTTTCATTTCCCAGGCAGCAAAAGAGGAAGAATAAGCTCAGCCTCCTTATTTTCTTCTAAGAATATCACAAACTCTTCATAAAATAATATTTACACATTCTCTTGGTCACCTTATAAACAATATAGACACTGTCCATTTTTATAGATTTGCTTTTTTCTGAACTGTTTCATTATTATTATAGATGGACTCACAAGAGTTTGGCCTACTGGCATTGATTTTCTTCTGGCATTACAAGATAACAGGAGGGGAAAAAAGAATATGAGCAGTGGAAATTTGTGACTTATAAAAATAAAATGAAGAAATGAAAGGAAACAGAGGCAGCTTGATTACCTTAAACCTCAGTCAATATCATTGCCTTTAAATATTTCAGTAAATATTTATTTTGGGATTCTACAGTCATTTCAGCTCATCAGTGTATCTGAAGTTGCATTTGAATTTCATAATGCATTTCTTGGAGGCACTTTATCTTTGTATCTTACTTACAAAGTGTAAACAAGCAAAGTAATTTAAACAAGTGTTAACTAGAAGACAATTCCGAATCATCCATGGCTTGCCATGTCATATCCAATTTTTCCCTATGTTGTGGTAGATTGCATGTCTATTTTTAACATTAATAATAAATGAGTTTTCCTTCTGGCCCTGGTTATGTTGTTGTTTTGAGTTTATTAAGCATCCAACTCTATCCACTTTAAAAGAAAAAAAAATTAAGCAGAGAAATTCACAGCATCTTTTCTGTGACTCTGAATTCATCGTTATCAGCTTAGAAGGTATACTTTAATATTAAGCAGACCCAGGTCTGAAACATGGCGAATGAGATTATCTTTCTGGCATCAAACTCAATGATAACCATTCCTATGGAATAATTTTAAGAAAACTCTTTGGCAATCACTGAACCACCCTCCTCCATCCTTTATAGAAACGGCAATAACAAGTTTTCCAATTATTTTCTAAAATGTCATGATAGTAAACTTAAAAACATACCTGTGCTTAGAATTATTTTGGAGAATTCTTGAGAAATTATTCTCGAAAAAAGAACTCATCTTTATGTTCTGGAGCATGTTTACTGCAACACAGTATTAAGAGTATACTCTTTTTTTTTTTTAAGTTTTATTTATTTAAGTAATCTCTACACCCAACATGGGGCTTGAACTCATGACCCCGACATTAAGAGGCCCATGCTCTTCCAACTGAGCCAGCCAGGCGCCCTGAGAGTATACTCTTGAAGACAAATATATGAACTTACATTTTAAGTTTGGTTTTTTTAAATGTGTGTACACATTCTTTGAGTCTACACTAGATCTTAGGATTCCGGCACTAACAACATGCTCCAGAGATGCAACTGAGGCATGCCCTAAGTCACTGTCAACATCCGCGTAGACAGACACATTTCCCCATTTGCTTCCTAACTCCCCAGGCTACTCTTAACTTCAGTTACTGTATTTTTGGTTCCAGAATTTCCATTAAAAAATAGATTCTAATCCTCTTGTGAAATTATCCATGTTTCGTCTATTTTTTTGAACATTTTAATCAGAGTCCTCGTCTGCTTATCTAATCCTGGATTACCTATGGGCTGGCTTCTACTGTATTTTTTCTTGGTTTTTGGTCATATAACTTTGATCTCTTGGCATACCTAATAGTTTCAGATACTCAATATTGATTATTGAGTATAAAATAATTATGTATTAAAAATTAAGTATAAATTATTAAGTGTAAGAAATACTGTGTACATATGTGATATTATCCTTCTCCAAAGACAATTCACTCTCATCTTTGCTGACAAAGATGCTAAACAAAAAGCCTCCAAAAAACAGTGATTTTATCATCTCAGCCTCCTACAATATAGTTTCAGAATTCAGCAAAATTTTGGGAAGAAAACTATCTGAGTCTCCCAACTCTCCACTATTCCCTTATTCCTGAGATCCTGGCTCTCTAAGACTGCAGTTTTGTCTTTCCAGTCCTGTGAGACCCCAGAGTGTAACTGGTTTGCTTGTTTTGTTCCCCAACAATGGTCCTTGGCTTAGGTAAAGCCCAGATGTTCAGTATCTTTCCTTGCACCCAGAATCCATAAGCGCCTTCAGGGAAAAAGCAGCTGGAAGAGGTCAGCTCACCTTTTTGCAGTTCTTTCCCTGGAATCTTGGCCCTTCCAGTCTTATTTCTTTGCTTAAATAGCTCTCTGCTTTATAGAGATGTTTCTGGTGTTTATCTGGTTTTTCTATTTATTTTTAGAGGGAGCAATGGTCTGCCTCAATTTACTCCATCATACCTGAAAGTGGAACTATACCTAAGCCGCTCTTAAAAGTACTATAAAGAGATAAGCTCATTTGCCAGTGACTATGCAAGAAAATAGAGGGTTTTCTAAAAGGGAGAGTTTCGTAGGTCCTTTCAGACACACCTCGGTAGTCAGAACTCACTATTCTTCATAGGCTCTGACCAGAGGGTGAGCAAGCGTGAGAAGAGGATCCTGGTTTCTTCTCGAAATGAAGGCACATTTATTCAGAGATACTTGAACCAGCTCCCCTTCTGCCATATATCGCAGATTTAGTGAAAAGATAAGAAGAATCTACTTTTGGGGCGCCTGGGTGGCTCAGTCGTTAAGCGTCTGCCTTCGGCTCAGGTCATGGTCCCAGGGTCCTGGGATTGAGCCCCATATCGGGCTCCCTGCTCAGTGGGAAGCCTGCTTCTCCCTCTCCCACTCCCCCTGCTTGTGTTCCCTCTCTCACTGTGTCTCTGTCAAATAAATAAAATCTTTAAAAACAACAAAAAAAGAAGAATCTACTTTTATATTTCTATATGTACATATTCTTTAAACCTTTATATGTATGATATATACACATATTTTTTTAAAGATTTTATTTATTTATTTAAGAGAGAGAATGAGAGAGAGAGAGAGCACATGAGAGGGGGGAGGGTCAGAGGGAGAAGCAGACTCCCTGCTGAGCAGGGAGCCCGATGCGGGACTCGATCCAGGGACTCCAGGATCATGACCTGAGCTGAAGGCAGTCGCTTAACCAACTGAGCCACCCAGGTGCCCGATATATACACATTTATCATTCCTCTTTTCCTTTATTACAGTTGCGAATATTTTTGTTTTTCATTTTCAGTCTTTTTTTTTTTTTTTAAAGCAAAGAAGATTCTGCATCACTGCTCACACTCATTTCAAAGCTCAGGATACAATCCATGAAAAGTTGGGTCTTAGAACCACAGTCACACTTCACTGAATTAAAGTGACATCACAAATCATAGTTCCCTGCTTTACATGCTATGGTCACAAGTATAGAGCAGTTATTTAAAAGGAATGGAATGGGGGTGCCTGGGTGGCTCAGTTGGTTAAGCGACTGCCTTCAGCTCAGGTCATGATCCCGGAGTCCTGGGATGGAGTCCCACATCGGGCTCCCGGCTCAGCGGGGAGTCTGCTTCTCCCTCTGACCCTCTCCCCTCTCATAACTGTTTCTCACTCTCTCTCTCATACAAAAACTTAAAAAAAAAAAAAAGGAATGGAATGATGTCGTCAGAATACCTTCAATAGATATATTTCAAACTTTCTTCAGAGAATGAAAAGTTAAAGTGAAATAATAAATCATTCTCTAACAATGTTTTTTTAAAAGAATGTAGTCAGGTTTTCCCTAAGGACCTAGCCAGCCTTTCTGGTTTATTCTTTACATAATTATAGACTCAAGACAATACCAAAAGTACAGGAAAATTGTCACAACCATGAAGAAACATTTACAACACTCCTGTTAAGTGACAGGCATTGTGTACCAAGAACCTTTGCCAATCTGGTGAAGTTAGGGACCTCTTATTAGAATAATGTTTCTAAATGCATCAAAATAAAATATACAGAATTGCAAAGGAAGGCAATTTATCATGTTATAAAATATTTTAAAAGCAAGATTTGTGATACACTAAGATATGTGCTTTATTAATTCATTAAACAACAAAATCTAATGTCAGACCTAACATCTACCATGATTTTTAGTAAGGAGCATAAATATTTTAAGATATCTATTATTGTAATGTGATACAAAAATCTTAGTGATTCCAATTGGTAATAAAATCACAGGTACAGCTACTACTACTGACTGTTATTTTGTGGAGATGGGTCTCCACTTACTCCATTTAGAGGTGAAAGAAATGCTAAATTTGTTTGAGGTTAGTGAAAATAAAGATGTAATTTTTTTCCCATCCAAGTTCACACACCCTCTGAATTCTATCCACAGATCCTCAAGGGTCCCCAGATTTGGAACTCCTGCTTTAAGTATTCCATCGTCTTCTACAAGGCATGGATGGCCCTGAGGGTACTGGGAAGTTCTGAGCAAAGAACAAACAACTACTTCTGCACCTATTTGTCCCAGGCATGAAAGATCCTACTTGTTGGTAAGGTTGCTCTTACTAACTAGAATACAGGTGTTTTGCTTACTAATATGCACACAGCTCTGCCTTGCAAAGGGCCCTTGTACCATTCCTGAGAATCTTGGAGCTGGATTGGACTTGAAAGGTCATCTGGTACAAAAATGTCTGTCCCTAGAACTAGAGTTATTATGTGCCAGGCCCTCTGCCATATATGTTACTGCACCTGATTCTCGAAGCAACCCCATGAGGCAGATGTTATTATTCCGAGTTTATATAGACTCATCTGTTCATTCACAAAAAATATATTGGACACTTATTGTATAACTCTTACTAAACTAGGTGTGTGCCTTAAATATAAGCACAGAGTACAGCAGGAAAGAAAAGCATAAATTCTATATTGTGATAAGTACTTTGAAAAGAACAAACAAGTGGTTGAGAATGGACTCAAGGGGAACCTATTTCAAAAGACAGGGTTGTCAGTGGGGATCTCTCTGGGGAGGTAACATTTAAGCTGAAACCAGAGAAGGAACCAGTCATGCAAAAAGCAAGGGAAAGAGTGTTCCAGGCCAAAAGAACAGCAGGAACAAAGGCTGTTAGGCAGGAAAATTTAACATTTTAAAAACATATATATTGTTTTAATTTCCTATTTTAAAAAAATTTTTAAATTTTTTTTTTTTTTTAGATTTTATTTATTTATTTGACAGAGAGAGACACAGCGAGAGACGGAACACAAGCAGGGGGAGTGGGAGAGGGAGAAGCAGGCTTCCTGCGGAGCAGGGAGCCCGATGCGGGGCTCAATCCCAGGACCCTGGGACCACGACCCCAGCCGAAAGCAGACGCTTAACGACTGAGCCACCCAGGCGCCCCTAAAATTTTAAAGTATTTTTAAGTAAGCTCTGCACCCAATGTGGGGCTCAAACTCATGACCCTGAGATCAAGAGTCACATGCTCTACCGACCGAGCCAGGCAGGTGCCCTCCCTCTTAACCATTTTAAACTATATAGTTGAGTAGTGTTAGCAATATCCACATTATTGTGCAACAGATCTCTAGTATTTTTTCATGTAAAACGGAAACTATAGCCATTGAACAACTCCCCATCTTACCCTCTCCCAAAACCCGGGCAATGAAAAATTCTACTTTCTATTTCTATAAATGTGACTACTTCAGATACCCCATACGAGTGGAGCCATATGTTATTTGTCTTTTTGTGATTAGCCCAGTATCCTCAAGGATGATCCATGTTGTAGCGTATGTGACGATTTCCTTCTTTTTCAAGGCTGATTAGCATCCTACTACATCTATGCATCCACCCACCCAGTGGATATTTGGGTTGCTCCACCTCTTAGCTACTGTGAATAGTACTGCTATGAACATGGGGGTGCAAATACCTCTTCAAGATACTGCTTTCAGTTCTTTTGGATATATACCCAGAAATGGGATATCTTGATCATAGGGTAATTCTATCAATTTTTTGAGGAACCCCCATACTGTTTTCCATAGTGGCTGCCACATTTTACGTTCCCAACAGTGCGCAAGGGTTCTGAATTATCAACATCCTCCGAAACCCTTATGAGGGACCCAGCTTCCCAAGGCCTGCTACAGGAGCGCTTGCTACACATGCACATGAAGTGCAGTTCAGAGGTGACAGGCATCTGGAAGAGGGCAAGGCTCTGTATAGGCCAGGTCATGGGAGCAGGGCCGGGGGTGGGGGGGGTGTCAAGGCATATGCCTAACCTTCAGTGGTAACCTGCTCAATGGTAATACTCCCTCCTGAATGCAGAGATCCAAATTACTCAACTGCCTCCTTATGGAAGGGCTGGGGAAACTTGCAGGGGTATCCTTCAGTATGAGAAACCCAAGACTTGATCAAGCAACAAGTCCAAATGCGGACTGATTTAAATTGGTGATAGTCCCCATTTGGACTTGTTGCTTGACTGGATCCTGGGCTTCTCCAATAATCAAGGCTACCAGGTGTCTCTAATTAGAGTATACTCTGGCCAGCGCCCGCTCCCCACCTCCCCTTGGCAAAGCAGACCAGATTCTTCCAGCCTGCCTTCAGGGGACATTCCTCATAGGGAAGGTAGAGCCCACAATTAGGTATATGCCTTGAATCCAAAGAGCCCACACCATGACCTGACCTCTCCATGCCCTTGCCCTGTTCTAGGTACTTAGCTACCCTGACCTCTGCACCTGCACAGTAGGAACTCTGTCAGCCACCTTTGGACATCTGGGGCCCTCAAGGCCTGTGGAGTAAGGGGCAATCCTCAACACCTGCATTCCTTCATATGAGGAGGAAACCTATCTCCCTCTCCCAAAATCGCTGTGAGGCAGAAGCTGAAATGAGCTACAGTCAGTCCCCATGTGGACTGGCTGTGAGATTGGGTCCCAGGTTTCTCTAAACAAAAGGTTCCTAAGCATCTCAGAGCATACAACCAGACTCCTCCACCTCTGCCTTCAGGGGAATTAAGTACGTTTGCTTAGGTTAAGGCACGGAATAGGCAGATTCCAGGGACCTGTAAGAGCCCCCTCTTGTGACCCAGCCTTGCTTGACGTTGTCCTGGTCCAGGTCCCTGGCTCCCCTGACCTATGCCACCTGTGCATGCCGTCTTCACTGTGTCAGCAGGTCTTTGTCCACTGGGGGCCCTCCAGGACTCTGGAGTTCAGACTGGATGGTGAACACCTCAGTAACTCCAAGGTGGAGGAAGCCCACAGCCCAAAAATCTTTATGAGGTGGCAGCTTTAAAGTGTTGACAGTGGGGCGCTTGGGTGGCTCAGTCATTAAGCATCTGCCTTCGGCTCAGGTCCTGATCCCAGGGTCCTGGGATCGAGCCCCACATCAGGCTCCCTGCTCGGCGGGGAGCCTGCTTCTCCCTCTCCCACTCCCCCTTGCTTGTGTTCCCTCTCTTGCTGTGTCTCTGTCAAATAAAAAAAATAAAAAAAAATCTTTAAAAATAAAAAAAAATAAAGTGTTGACAGTAAGTCCCTATTTGGACGGGCTGCCTGGTGGGTTCCCAGGCTTTTCCAGGATTCCAGGCTCCCAAGCTGTCTCTTATTGGAGTACCCTGGCCCTCTATCCAGCCTTGATGTGGCAACACCATCAAGACTCCTCCAGCTCTGCCTTCTTGTGGAATATGGACATTTGTGTAGGTTAGGTCTTGGAATTAGGCAGATAACCTTGTATCCCCAAAAACCCGCTCCTGTGAACCAGCCTTAGGGTGGGGGAGAGCCCAGCCCCCTAAAATCACTCTGAAGCAGCCACTGGGCATGGACCTGTAGAGGCTGGCCCACAGGAACAGACTCTTGGGGGACAGGCCTATGCCTAGAAGCTAGCCCTTCCTGCACAGATGCCCATATTCCCCCTTAAGCAGAACTGGAGTATATTAGACTGCCTTGTCGGGTTGGGCTGGGCTGTTGTCTGGTGAATTCTCCAATTCTCCAATAAGAAACCCAAGGCCTGCTGAAGGGATATGTACGGCACATATGGGCACAGTGCATTTAAGGGTGCCAGGGATCTTGACCAGGGTAAGGGTCTGGAAAGTCGAGATCACAGGATCAAGCTCTTGTGGAACAAGGTATGGGCATAACTGTAAGCCCTAGCCTACACAAACACCCATAATCCTCATGAAGGCAGAGGAGGATGCTGGACTACCTTGCCAGGGTGGGCTGGACAGCTGGCTCACATATCCTCCAATAAAAGATACCTAGAAGCCCTGGATGCAAAAGCAGCCCAGAACTGGATCAAGAAGGAAGTCCAAATGGGGACTGACTGTTGCCAATTTGCAGCTGCCTCTGAGTGATTTCTAGGGGTGGGCTCCCTCCAAGCTGAAGGCATGCAGGTGGTTAGGGGAGGTCAGTTTCCCAGGTTAGCCTGGGCTACCCACAGCCTGCTACAGGGGTGTGTACTGTGTATGCACGTGCAGGGGAAGGTGGGGGGGTCAGGGTTGCCAGGTATCTGTACTGTAGCAAGGGTCAAGAGGCTAACACAAATGTAGACGTGTAAAGAACAAGGAATGGGCTTAATTTTAAGTCTTAGGCTATACAAATACACATACTGCCCCTGGAAACAGAGTTGCAGCATACTGCATTCCTTCTGTCATTGTGGGCTGGGTGTCTAGCAGGTGTACCTCAGTAGGAGACACCTGGGAGTCCCACTTGCTAAAGAAGCCAGAGCCTGATCAAGTAGCAAGTGCAAATGGGAACGATCAGCAATCTGTTGCCTCAGTGTGATTATTGGGGGGTGGACTCATTCCTTCCTGGAGGCTATGCAGCTGGTTGGGTCTAGTCCTAGTTCTCTGTGACTCTAGGACCCTGCTGTCCAAAGCCTGCTGAATGTGTGCATACAGCATATGCATATGCAGTGCTATTCAGGGAAGCCAGGGATCTGGAACAGGACAGGGGTCGGGAGATGCTAGAGCACAGGAGCAAACTCTTAGGGGATAGGGTTTATGCCTAATTGAAAGCCCTACAGGCCAGATAGGGAATTCCCCATGAAGGCAGCCATAAAGGTTATTCAACTGGCCTGCCATGGAGCATCCAAGCAGTCTGGCCAGGATATCCTCCAATAGGAGACACCTGGGAGCCCTGGTCACTGGAGAAAGCCAGGATCCCAGTAGGCAGCCAGTCTAAATGGGGACTGTTGTCCATTTGCAGCTGCTCCCTCAGAAGGATTTGGGGGGTTGGCTTCCTCCATGCAGGAGGCTATGTCGTGGTTGAGCTTGGCCAGAGATCCACAAGACAGTGTGGTCAGCACGTCCATGGGCCAAGCAGGTCAGGGTAGCCAGAAACCCGGAAAGGATCGAGTGCTGAAGAGGCCAGGTGACAGGAGCAGACTCCTACAGGTACAAAATGTCAGCCTAATCCCAAAGGTTTATCTACACATTGTGGAATATCCCCGACGATGGCAGAGCTGGAGTCTTTTTTAACTGTCTCATGATGAAGAGGCATGAACAGGCAGAACAAGGTATCCTCCATTAAGAAATACCTGGGAGTCTTACTTCTTAGAATTCTAAGCCTGGGGTCCCTTCAAATAGCAACTCCACATGGAGCCTGATTTACACTCATTTCAGCAGCTACCTCAGGGCAATTTTCAGTGGATGGGCTCCCTCCCCTTGCGATAATGCAGATGGTTCTGGATGGGTCCTAGACCCACATACCTTAAGAGTTCCCACTGCCTAAAGGCAGCTGATGGGGTACACACTATCCATGTGTCAGAACGAAAGGTCAGGGTAGCCAGGAACCTAGAACAGGGCAAGTGTCCAGAAGACTGAGATGAAGGAACGGACTCTTGGAATTACAAGGTATCTGACTAATTCCAACCTAACCTACACAAATGTGCATACCACCACTGAAGGCAGAGCTAGAGTAACCTGGCCTGCCTTGCCAGAGCTGAATCTGATGGCTTGTTGGGGTATCCTCTAATAGGAGATACGTGAGAACGCTGACTGCTATAGAAGCCAGGGACCCTGGCAGATAGTCCACACGGGGACAGATGGCCACTCTTCTCAGCAACTGCCTCCAAGTAATTTTCAGTGGGTGGGTTCATTCCAATGCAGGTGGTTGAAGATGGGCCCTAGCTCTACAGGCCTGGAGGGCTCCAGATGCCCTAGGGCAGCAAACAGGGATGTACTTAGCATGCACAGGTTGCTTAAGTCAGGGAAGCCAGAAACGTGGGACGGAGTAAGTGTCTTGAAAGGACAGGACACAGATTGGGATAACAGGGGTACATGGGATCTGCCTATTATAGAGTTTAACTTACACAAATAGGTATTATACTCCTAAAAGTAAAGCTCGGGGAACATGGACTTCCTTGCCAAGACATGATGGCCTGGAGAACCTCCAATAACAGAAACCCAGGAGCATTGCTTGCTGGAGAATCCTGGGATACCATTAGACAGCAAGTATCAATGGGACGATTACCAGTTTAAAGCTCCATTGCTGAAATATTTTGGGTGAGAGATTGCTTCACCCTGAGGACATTCAGGTGGTTGAGATCTGGCCAAAGCTCCATAGGCCTGGAGTAGCCCTGGCAGCCCAAGGCCAGCCGTCAGGGCACAGAGAGCACAAACTCAGGATAGTAGAAGACCTAAAACAAGGCAATGTCTGGTAAGCACGGTTGGAGAAGAGAGCTATTTGGGGATAATGACATTTGCTTTATCCCAAGCCATGATTTCAAAAAATGTAAATATTCCCCTTGAAGACAAAGCAGGAAAACTCTAGACTCTATGCCAGGGCTGCATTTGGTGAGGTGGCCTGGCTATCTCCCAAAAGAATACATCAGGGAGCATTGATTACCAAAGAAGCAGGAAACCTGATCATGCAGTCAGTCCAAATGTGAACTGAATGCTTCATAATGGTTTCTGGGGTGTGAGATCCTATCACCTTGGAGGTTGAGCACATGGTTCTTCACTAAGAAGCCCACAGTCCTGTAAAGTTACAGCTGCAGACAAAGTGCATACTGGGCCCTTACCTGGCACCCAGCATAGGGGAAGTGCCTGCAGAGGCCAGGTAGCTGGTGCCTGCTTTCAGGTGTGTGAAAACTCTGCCTAATTCCAAGCACAAACATTCAAAAATATGAAAGATCCCAATGAAGGCAGAGCTAGAAAAATCTGGACTGCCTTGCAAGGGCAGGTATGAGTAAGTCACACAGGATAACCTCTAACAGAGACACCTGAAAGCCTGACTGGGCACCTGAGGAGCCCAGGACACAATCAAGTAGTTGGTCCAAATGGGGACTGAAAGTTCCCAGTATCAAAAGGAGCCTAAGAAATATTTTTCAGGGTATAAGCTCTTCACACCCTGAGTCCATTCAGTTGCCAGAGATCATTCAAAACTTTAGGGACCTGGGATGTTCCCTGAAAACCAAGGCTTGCTAACAGGCTACAGACTGCCCATGCATAGGAGGTGGCAGCTGAGAGGAGCAAAATGACAAGACAGGCTTGGCTCAGAAAAGGGGGCTATTTAGGGCCCTTGGCATCTGCCTCATTCTAAGCCTTACCCTACATCGATGCTCATAGTTCCCCAGAAGGCAGAGCTGGAGAAAATGGCCTACCCTGCTGGACTGGGGCTAGAGCCTGGACCCCAGGCCCACCAAGCAGTGGTGCTACCTTCCAGTAAGACACACCCGGCACTACAGAGTGGTGGAGAAGCCAGCAACCCAGCCTGGGACTGGCTGCCTTCAGTTTCCAGCTGCTACCTCGGAAGGCCTCTTGGGGCCGGGATCCCCATGCCCACAAGGATCAGCAGGTAACTGCACAAGCAGGGGCTCCACAGGCCTGGAGGGCCTGTAGTGCACATGCACGAGCCACCCAAGTCAGGGCAGTCAGAGGCCGGGAGGAGGGCAAGTGTCTGGAGAAGCAGCCGGGGAATGGGCTGTCCCAGCTACAAGGCATATATATAAATCCCAGATGCAACCTATTCCAGTGGGCACAATCGCCCTGAAGGGAAAGCTGGAGGGCGACTGGACTGCCAGGTGGCCACCTGGGGCAGTGTTCAACAAGACACACCTGAAAGCCTCATTACTGGTAAACCTGGGGTCTCTGGCAGCCGGTCCAAAGGGGGACCAACTGCTGTCCAAAGAAAACAGCGCCCTAAAAAAAGTTTGCTGGGTGTGGTGGGCTCCTACAGGACTGGAGGCTTGGCAGGTCCTTAGGGACCAACCACAACTCCCCTGCTGGAGGGCCCCAGGTGCAGGCTACCCGGATGCATACTGCACCTGGGCTAGCTGAGGAAGTCAGGGGAGAAGGGCCCTGGATCAAGGCCAGTGTCTGGTGATGCCAGGTCACTAGTGCAGCCTCTGAGGGGCTGGGAGGCATGTCTCATGCTCATGGCAAGCACCAACCTTTCAAATACACAGATTCCTTTTGGGGGCAGAGATGGAGGAGTCTGGACTTCATCACCAGAGCGGGGACTACTTTTAAAAGCCCCAAACGGGAAACAATCCAAATACCAATGACAGAATGGAGAAATGAATGTGGTAATAGTCACATAAGGATACTACACCACACTATAAAGGAACAATGTACACACTATGGATGAAACAAAGATCATGTTAATGAAAGAAAAAAACACAAAGAATACATTTTTTAAGATTCCATTTATACAAAGAACAAAAATGGGCAAAACTAAGCTGTACTGACTGAAGTTAGGATATGGGTTATCCTTGACAGGAGGAGGAGTTATTGGAAGGAGGTAAGAGGTGGACTTTCTGGGGGGCTACAAGTGTTCTGTGTTTGATGAGAGTAAAAGGGTGTGTCCAATTCAGGGAAATTCATCGAGCTACACACTTATGACAGACCCATTTTTCATTAAAAGAAAACAATTTTTAAAGGACCCACCCCTCCTCCCTCCCCAACCTTTTGTACCTCCTACCTTCAGGAGTCAAGATGCTTTTGACCTTCTACAGGAACGGCTGGTTCACAAAAGCTGGTGGTGGACAACCCATTCCCAGTGTTGGGTCCTTACTGTCGACATCAAACATGACGACATTGTAGTGGGGCTGTCCTGGGAAAGAGAAGCAAACAAGTCTTTGTCTAAGACCATCTACTTTTCCCTGTGACCTGTGGTGGCCGCAGGTGGCTAAGTCAGAAGGATGACATGGAGGTTGTGGTTTGTCTGTAAGGGCACTGACGTCACTGTCCAGGGGAGTCACTGTCCATTAGGGTTCTGCTGTGAGCACCCCACATGACAGACAGGGCTTTTTTTTTTTTTTTTTTAAGATTTTATTTATTTATTTGACAGAGAGAGACACAGCGAGAGAGGGAACACAAGCAGCGGGAGTGGGAGAGGGAGAAGCAGGCTTTCAGCTGAGCAGTGAGCCCAATGCGGGGCTCGATCCCAGAACCCTGGGATCATGACCTGAGCCAAAGGCAGACGCTTAATGACTGAGCCACCCAGGCGCCCTGACAGACAGGGCTTTTACTTGATCTTTTCCTCCACATTTAAAAGCACCTTCCATAAGCACACACATTCATGGGATCCATGCCTGCATGATTACTACTTGGTTAAGAGTCCATCTATACCAGTAATATTCAATCCCAGCAGAACATTACGGTCACCTGGGAATATTCAAAATACTTCAATATTTCAGGGTCAAAAACCCTGGTGTGGGAAAGAACAGGTGGAAGGGGAGATAGGAAATCTCAGGTATTTTTCTTCAACTCCGAGGTAATTCGAAATACAGGCAGAATTGAGAACTATTGATTTAGGCAAAGCAGCTGCCTAAGTCTTTTGGAGCTGACCCAGCAAATGCTTGCAGGAGAAAATGTTCTCAAATTAAAGTTAGTGTATCTTTTCTAGTACTTGAAAAATAGCTGGCTCAAGAAAGATTTTACTAAATGGGTGAGAAAGAACTGATGAAGGATCAGATGCACTCCTTGCTATAATGAAAATAGTTTTTACAAGGGGTAAGCTTGCAATGCTACGGACTTTCAGCAAACTCTGAGACTATGATAATGATTATTCAATAATTAATAAATACTGACACAGGACTACTGCATGCCCATTACTGTGCATGGCACAGATCTCGTTTTGGTTTCTTAGAGAGCAGAACATGCTGGCTCATCAAAGTCCAAGAATAACCACTGCCCACATTTGTAGCAGTGAGCCCTCCAATAATCTGGAAGGTGGTTGTTAGAGACGATTGCCAGGCTGTTCAAAACTGACTGATGGGCAGTAACGATGGCAACACATCACAGACTGAGTGCCTGCCATGAGCCTAGTGCAGTTTTCAATATTTCCCATGTACTAGCTGTGTTGGGCCTGGGCCCCCACACTGGCCCCAGCCTCAGAGAGGTAACCTGTGAGACTCTTGATATATACTTAAGTTCAGTTTGCAATTAAAATTCCTGCACCATCTGTCCATCCCAGCACCAAAGTACTCACTCCGGGCATCCTGTTTTGCCATACCCTAACTGGGAGATGCTCTGATCCAGTGAGAACCAGAGGATCAGTTATGGAATGGGCAGACCAGGAAGGGTGGGTGGCCCGAGCTCCCAGGTTCACTTAACTGAACCAACCTGACTGACTTCTCCCTGAGGGACTCCTGCTCTGGTATGCACCAGTCCCCAGGAGCCTACATACAAAGAGGCAAAAGAAGCACAGGAGCGGGCGCCTGGGTGGCTCAGTTGGTTAAGCGACTGCCTTCGGCTCGGGTCATGATCCCAGGGTGCTGGGATCGAGTCCCGCATCGGGCTCCCTGCTCTGCGGGGAGCCTGCTTCTCCCTCTCCCACTCCCCCTGCTTGTGTTCCCTCTCTCGCTGTGTCTCTCTCTGTCAAATAAATAAATAAAATTAAAAAAAAAAAAAAAAAAGCACAGGAGCTATTGCAGAACATTAATATGCCTTTTGTCCTAAGTCCTAAGGAAATAATAGAGCAAAATGGAGCCCTAACTCCAGCAGCAGCACGGCCCACCAGAATTCCCACTGAGTAGCATCTGCTTCAGGGTTTCTCAACCTCAGCACTACTGACATTGGGGACAGATAATTCTTTGTCAGGGGTGGCTGTCCTGTGCACAGTAGGATGTTTAGCAGGATCTTTGGTCTCTACTCACTCACTGTCAGAAGCACCCTCACCCTGCGGTTATAAGGACCAAAGACGTGTGTATAGACACTGCCCGATGCCCCCAGGTGTACAGCCACTGATCTACACGAATGCTGTTTGGCTCTCTCTCTGCTTCACCCGCAGCTCAAAGACTAAAAAACAGGGCGCCTGGGTGGCTCAGTTGGTTAATCGACTGCCTTCGAGGCTCAGATCATGATCCTGGAGTCCCGGGATCAAGTCCCACAACAGGCTCCCTGCTCAACAGGGAGCCTGCTTCTCCCTCTGACCCTCCTCCCTCTCATGCTCTCTGTCTCTCATTCTCTCTCTCGCAAATAAATAAAATCTTAAAAAAAAAAAATGACTAAAAAACAACTCCCAACACACACCCCAACTTTTCTTCCCCTTTTCCTCACCCGGCTACAGACCTTAGGTTCCTTGGGAGGATGAGGAAGTGGCAAGGACACAGAGTCAGAAGAGAACCAGGAGAAAAGCCCACTGAGCTGTCAGCACCCCAAGGGCAGAAATGGTCGGTTTTATGTGCTGCTGTACCCTAGCCCCTAGCACAGTGCTGGGCACATGGCTGGCACTCTAGATTTACTGAGGCAATACATCAACCAATGAATGAACAAATCAACGGGGGAAAGACTGGGACAATGCTAATTGTTCAAGATGAATTCTAGAGGTCCTTGCAGGCCTGCCGACTTTGGATGACTCTTCCCTCAACACCCCTCCAAATTCTCCAACAGCAGTACCTTCTCTTCCTGCCAGGCTGGTAATATAGTCCAGTCCATCTGCAATATGGACCTTCATCCGGTCGCTCTGGGAGAAGCCAAACCACCGGCTGGCCACTTCCAACATGGAGGGGTCGATCTCCACAGCATCAATGTAGGTCTTCGGGAAATGATCGTGGACAAACAGGGAGAGGCTGCCCCCAGCCAGTCCTACCACCAACAATGCCAGTGGGGTCTCTGCAATAAAGGAATAAAGCATCATTTGACAATCTGCTCACTGAAAGCTTTATACCAGCCTTGGGGGGGGTAAAGGAGGGAGCTGGATTATTGGCTCTGCCCAGGGGATACAAGATTTAGAGGCCCAGCCTCTCTGTCTCATCCCAGAAATTTAGGGCCAGTCTGACATCTGAAAACTCAACCGTGGCCTCACAATCCTTCCTTTACTAGATCCAGAAGCTGTGTGTTATTATTACAGACCCTTAAAGATCCCAAAGCACTCAGCTGACATCATACCAAGAGTCCCCACCATAAGCATTATTAGACTTCCCCTAAGAACTGGGAGGGACAATGGCCAACATCTCGCTCATGATCACAAGGTAATGTAGATGCAATGCCCTCTGCCCAGCTTTCAACTCAAAGGCCACAGCTGCCGTCTCAGACACATCAACCAACTGAAGGCAATCCTTCCAAGTTCCAGAAATCACAGGAAAACAAAGGCCCAAATCCTAGTCCTAAGTACAGAGAAACCTCAGCAATCACAGGCAGGCAGAAGACAAGAAATAAGAAAGAATCACTGAAAGGAGACATTAAATGTAAGATTAATATCTGAGGATTAAACCTAAGAACGGAGACTCCAGGGACATACATCAACACCAAGATAGGCCAAAAGTACAGGATGTTTCAGTAAGACATCCTTGGGACTTTGGGTGAACAGTTACAAGCCTAGACAGAAAAATGAACATTTTTGCTACTGTGGTCAGATCCAAACCTGTTATTAGTAATAAGGCTATGACTGTTCTGCCTATAATATAGATTTTTTAATTAAGTAGAAATTTAAGAAAGAATTGCATCTGGTGCTCAAATAATACATTACTGAAAGCCAGAAATTCTTCTTAAGTGCACAGGAATTTCTGGAGCCATGATTTTTAAATGTTCCTTCTGGTTACACGGGTAGACACATATGCTAACACTCATCAAGGGCTCCTGGGTGGCTCAGTCGTTAAGCGTCTGCCTTCGGCTCAGGTCATGGTCCCAGGGTTCTGGGATCGAGTCCTGCGTCGGGTTCCCTGCGCGGCAGGAAGCCTGCTTCTCCCTTTCCCACTCCCCCTGCTTGTGTTCCCTCACTCACTGTGTTTCTCTGTCAAATAAATAAATATAATCTTAAAAAAAAAAACAAAACTCATCAAACTGAACAACTTAAAATCTGTGTACTTTATGTATCCCACTGAATACGTTTTATACTTTAATATTTTAAATAAATGAAAAGAAAAAATTTAGACACCCACAGGCGCAGCCATTTTGAGATTACAACCTGAGCTTCAGGGAAAAGCTACTGGATTTTATTAACTTAGAAGAAGATTGGGAAGAAGAAAACCATGAATATATGTGCATTTGTTGGTCTGTAACCGCTGTGCTCAAACCACAAGACAGCCGTCATCTTACACGCCCCCTCCTGTGGCAGGCAGCGGAGTGTCCCTCACCTAGGAGCAGCTCCGGGTTTCTGAGCAGGGCAAGGCCCGCAACCATTGCTTTGTGGTGTTCACAGCACAGGTAACTCTTGTCGATGGACTGCCCTGGGGCCGTGGGGAGGTCCTCTGGAGCGTCAGCAGGCCGCTGCTTCTTCCTGTCCTTTTTCCGTTTCTTCTGGGCTAAAGAGAGAGAGAGATGATGAGGTCCTATGCTTGGCACTCCAGTCCGTGGAAAGCAAGCCATAGCAGCAGCACTGTGCCGTAGCGAGCTTGATCAGACTCAAGAACCCAACTGCTAAATATACACATATTTTGTGACTTGGTTGACATGTTGGTTCTTTGAAATCTGCCTATGGTGGCCATTTTTATGCCACAGAAATTAACAAACATATGAGGGCTTTCCCCCCCCCCCGTAAAACACAGTTGTTAAACATTTAACACATACCACTGCAGACCAAAGACTCAGAAAAGGAAAAGTGGGGTGCCTGGTAGCTCAGTCGGTTAAGCGTCTGCCTTCAGCTCAGGTCATGATACCAGGGTCCTGGGATCGAGCCCCACATCAGACTCCCTGCTCCTTAGGAGTCTGCTTCTCCATCTACCCCTCCCCCCTGCTTGTGCGCCCGTTCTCTCTCTCTCTCACTCTTTCTCAAGTAAATAAATAAAATCTTAAAAAAAAAAAAAAAGGAAAGGAAAGGAAAGGAAAGGAAAGGAAAGGAAAAGTGGCAAAAACACACCCAAAACCCTGGGAAAACTGAACTCGGGAGTCCTAGCCCCTTGACACTGAGAAATAGAAGGATACTAACAGGAAAAATTTATTCATAAATCCTTTCAGAGAAGAAGGACTTAAAGTCACTACCTCCTCCATGCCAATTACTATACTTCTAGTTATTTAACTCTTATAACAACCTTTTAATACCCATGTTAGACAGATGAAAAACTGAGGATCTGAACAGTTAATGATTAGGCCCAGAAATAGTACAAGCTACAGTCAGGATGTGAACCTGGGACTGCCTATCTCCAACGCCTATTGCCTTTTACTGTACTGTACAGACAGTAAGACACACAGCCCCGCAGGAGGAGGAAATCACAAGTGCTCATCAAAGGGGAGAAATCCTATTAAGGCCCCACTACTTTCCCTCTGATATATAGTAACCAGATATTCGTTTTCTACTCTATATTTAGATTTTTGAATTGATTACACTGAACAATGGACTGAGCCACCCAGGTGCCTTTATTTTGCTATTTTCTAAAGCCAAACTTAAAACACAAGTTGTTGGGCGCCTGGGTGGCTCAGATGGTTGGGCGTCTGCCTTCGGCTCGGGTCGTGATCCTGGAGTCCTGGGATCGAGTCCCGCATCGGGGTCCCTGCTCCTTGGGAGCCTGCTTCTCCCTCTGCCTCTCTCTCTCTGTCTCTCATGAATAAGTAAATAAAATCTTTAAAACAAACAGACAAAAAAACACAAGTTGTTGCCTCCCTCTCTGTGGAGCAATCGCCCATTGAGCCTTCAAAATTTGGCCCCAATGTCACCACCTCTGGAAAAGCCTGGTGGGAAATGCATAAGCCTGGGACTGAATGGGGCTGAGTTTAAATTCCCATGTGACCACTCACTACATGTATGATTTTGGACAAGAAACTGACGCTCAGAGCCGCAGTTTCCAAATCGATACAACGAAAGAACCTTACAGAGTTATTATGAGATTTCAACTGCTGAAGGCACACACACACACACAGCACTCAGCAGAAGTCTTGGCACTGAGAGCATCCTCCACCAACGTTACCTTCCTATCCTCTTTCTTCCCCACCTCCAGCACACTTCGTCTCCACCAAACCCCTAGCATTGAACTTAGCAGTTGTCCCTCCTGGAACGTGCCTTAGGGTTCCTGTGCTTATGAGCTGAGCACAGGGCCTGACATGCAGCGTGCCAGCAACAACCACTCCCTTAACAGAATCATCTATCAGTAAAGCCACGGGTTTTCTCTGCTCTACAGACACGGACAGTGACAGAAACGCACACCCTTGCTCGAGGAGCCGATCGCTAGGTTGGACTACGAGTCACTCTTCCCGTGAGATTACTAAGTCAAGGACTGCTGGGAGCAGGAGGTCTCTTACCTGAAAACCTTTAAAAGAACATTTTAAAATTGCCCTTGAGCCGAGTGATGCACAGAATCCGGAAAACACGGGCCCCATTTGTTACTAAACTACGGGCCTGTCGCTATCCACCAAGTGCAGGGTCAAAGTGCTCGTTGCCACACGCCCGAGCACACACTCGGGGCCGCCGCGCCGCGCTCACCTTCTCTCTGGGTTTGATGTACTTGTGCAGCAGCCCGCACAGCTCCAGGTAGCTTCCATACCACTCGAAAGCTCTCCTTCCTCGCTGCTGGAAGAACTTCTCCCAGTAGTCCGCGGAGCCAAACTCCTTGCAGCTTTTGGGTAAGAGGTTCATGTTGTCACTGTCCGAGCGGCGCCTGCAAGACCCTCCTCCTCGCCCTCCGAGGTACCATCGGTTAGGCTTCCACACACGCTGGCGCCGGGCCCCTGCAGTGGAATTCTTCCCACGACCAATAACCACGCTGATTTATCCCCCGCTCAAAACCCAGAGGGATGACGCTTACACGCCAGCCCCACGCGCGGGACACTGAACCCAATAGACGCTCACCCGTCCTCCCGGCTCACAGCCCCCGCCGCACGTGCGGAAGCCCCCACACTCCCTCAGAGCGGGGCTTCCGAACCCGCAATCATATCCGGGTGCCAGGCGTCGCGATTGGTCGGCCACGCAGACCCTCCCTGCGTCTCATTGGTCACCGCGTGTCGCTCCTGGCACCTCATTGGCCGAGACGCGCTCGCCACACGCAGGCGGAGTCGTCGCGGCGGCGGAGCGTTCCCCTGCGGGCGACAAAGGGGGCGGGGCCACGGGCCTGAGTCCGGGCGGAAGAGGCCCCGCTGCCTCGGCTGCAGATTGCCTCCGAGCGCCGCGCGAGGGCAGCCGTCCCCGGTCGGAGCTTTTCCTCCGCGGCGGAGGCCGCCCCAGCCTCCTGAGATCTGTGTTCGCTTTGGGTCCGAGCGGGCCTCGTGGCCGCTTCTCATCTTGAAGGGCCGAGCGCGGCCGGCGGGGCACGCGGGGAGGACGAGGCCCCGGAAAAGAAAAACCAGCAGAAGGACGTGAGGCAAGGAATGAGGAGAGCCGGTCCTTAGCAAAAGAAAGCCATCCTAGCCAGGTTACCTTCGGCATCTCCCGCCCCACCCTCCCTTAGTTTAACCACTTGACTTGGATAATTGAGGTTTATTTTGGAGAAAACTGGCACTGGGCGGTATTTTTTCTGCACCAAAATGCAGGATTCCACTATTAATGTCGTGACGTGGAAATTCACAAGAGGAATAGCAACCACGTATACAGAGGTGCCTCCTCACCTGCTTCTCCCCCCAAAGCACAACATGCAGATTTCAGACTCCTTTTGACAATCAGCCTCCTTAGGTTGTCATTCCGGTGTCATCTATCAGCAGTTGCTACTGCTTACTTGATGTGTTTAATGAGCAAACTGTACTTTCCGATGCCCGTCTTATGCTAATACCCTAAGGAAGTTCCTGTGACCGGCACATGTGCCAAATACGAGCATCGCTGGGCTTTTCACAACACTATAAATTGCGGAGGGAATGTACAGACCGAGCAGGGCACATGTGCGTGGAATGGGCATCTATAGTCTGGGCTATTGTAGACCTCACGAGCAGAGGTAGCCAAAAGGACTGGTAATCGTTGAAGTGGACTTAAACTTTGGTTTAAGAGAGTAGTTCTCAAATTTTGGCATGCATCAGAATCACTTGGAAGACTTACGAAAACAGATGGCTGAGCCCCACTTCCAGAGTTTCTCATTGATCAGGACTATCCTGAGGTCTAAGGATTTGCATTTCCGGCAAGAGTGATGCCAATGATTGGTCCAGGACCACACTTAGAGAACTACTGTTTCAAAATAGAAGAGAAAAGCCACAACGAATTTAGTTCCCACTCCACAACTTTGACAGGTTACTCTAAAAGCCCTCTACAAGCGACATCAAAGAAAATCTATCCTCGTGTACCACCTGTTGAGTTCATATTGTTTCCTTTCAACAAAGGAACTGGAAGGAGCCTCTGAGGTGGCTTCAGCTACTACATCATGTGGAGTTCCTAATGAGTGAGATATGGGTCCTTTCAGAAAACGCTGATTGAGAGCTGAGGACACTGCTTTTGCCTGAAGTGCTTCACAGTACCAAAAGTAAAACCATTTAAACAACAAACAAAAACACACAGCCTCGGGGCACCTGGGTGGCTCAGTCGGTTAAGCGACTGCCTTCGGCTCAGGTCATAATCCTGGAGTCCCGGAATCGAGTCCCGCATCAGGCTCCCTGCTCAGCGGGGAGCCTGCTTCTCCCTCTGACCTTCCTCCCTCTCATGCTCTCTGTCTCTCATTCTCTCTCTCTCAAATAAATAAATAAAATCTTTAAAAAATATATATTAAAAAAAAAAATTAAAACAAACAAACAAACAAAAAAAAAACACACAGCCTCAGCCCTCTCTGCTGAGGATTTATTAAATTCATCAAACATTTAAATTGCCTAGGATGAACCAATCTTTGTGGTAAAACTAAGGATACCGTGGTAAGCAAGGCAGTCACCTGGTAGACACACATCAAACAATTACAAAAATAATCTGTATGAGGGTTGTGGTGAATGCTGTGAAGGAGAAGGAGAAGGTTCTATAACAGCAGATACCTTCCAGACCTCTCCTGCTCTGGAGGTGACCAGAGAAGGCTTTCCTGGGAAGGGACAAAAAGTTTCTATAATCGGTCAGTTTTGGTAAACACTGCACATCTGAACTTGTTCTAGTAGTATCAGCATGACATAGGTAAGAACCAAGTATTTCACCCTCTGAAGATCTCTTCAGAACCTTTGGCTCCTGCTTTTCCCTCTGTCTCTATTGTCCTTTCTCTTAATGAATTGATATTGGACAGATAGTAAGAAGTGATTTCTGTCATTGCCCAGGCACCAGCCCCTTATTTAACGCCTTTATTTTTTGCACTGTGTTTCAGACTAAGAGGATAAGTAATTTATCTATTGTCGCCTGTGTCTGCTCCCTTCTTACAGCCTAAGGAAGCAGTAACAACCACAGAACACTAAGCTAAAAGTTGCTACAGGTTTCCTAAAATGTATGAACCACTCTTGCAGAAATAATTTACATATAGCATTAGACTCTGTCTTTTAAAATACTTACATTTGAAACGAGTGCTTTTGACTATAAAATATAATTAAGCAGTATCATTAGTATAGTTAGTTTAAGCTAATTAGGTATGAAAATGGTTTGTGTTTTAGGGGCGCCTGGGTGGCTCAGTCATTAAGCGTCTGCCTTTGGCTCGGGTCATGATCCCAGGGTCCTGGGATCGAGCCCCGCATCGGGCTCCTTGCCCAATGGGAAACCTGCTTTTCCCTCTCCCACTCTCCCTGCTTGTGTTCTCTCTCTCTCACTGTCTCTCTCTCTCTTCTCTCTGCCAAACATACATAAAATCTTAAAAAAAAAAAATGGTTTCTGTTTTATTAGGATCTCCAGAGTGGAGACCAGTGTGCTTTATAATGCAAAGTGAGTGTAGATATGGCCATTCAGTGTCATGGGTTTTTTTCCCTAAAAATATAAATCCAGACCTCTAAATATATAATTTGCAACTACCAGTCTTACTTAATTTAAACATAAGGTTTTAGGAACAACATTCAATTGATTTTGCTAAAATAATTGCAAAATGAGGCATAATAAAAGCATTTCTTGAGTATGGGGGACAGAGAATAGGATAGAGCTTGTGACAGAATAACATTTCCCCATAGAGGTGTATGTCCTAATTCCCAGAATTTGTGAATAAATTAGGCTACATGGAAAGGGGAATTAAGTTGACTAAGCATCTGACATTAAACCGGGAGCCTAATCTAGATTATCCAGGCAGGCCCAATGTAATCACAAGAATCCTTAAAAGTCCTTAAAAGTGGAAGAGGGAGGCAGAAGAGGGAGAAGCAGAGAGGTAGCATGAGAAGGATCGGTGCAGCGTCGCTGGCTTTGAAGATGGAGGAGGGGGCTGGGAGCCAAGGAAAGGGCCTGCCGGCCTATGAAAGCTGAAAAAGCCAAGGAAAAGTATTGTCCCTTAGAGCCTCCAGAAGGAACTCAGCCCAGTACACACCTTGATTTTAGTCCAGTAGGACCCCATCAGGCTTCTGACCTCCAGACCTGGAAGACAATAAATTTGTATTAAGTTATTAAGGTTCTGGTAACTTGCTACAGTAGCAGGAAATACTACAGAGCATAGTCAGGAGAGGGTATGTGTGGTCGGGCAGAAGGTTACGCTGGGAAGAATGCAGCAGAAGATAAAACTGGGAACTGAGGTGAACGGCACTTCAGTTTTGAGAAGTCTTCCATTCTGAGCATTTAGATTAAAGCTGTCAGGCCTTAAGAAGCCAAGGGACAACTAGGGTCATGACAGAAAGAACTGATAGGAGAGAAGTTTTCAGGAAGAACAGAAGCATCTGATGTCTGATCCTGTCTAGGGAATAAAAGACCCGAGGACTCAAAATGGCATCCACATTGGCCTCTGGATGACTGGGGAAATTGCCTATACAAAGGAACAGGGAAGGAGAAAGGAGGTCATTTGTAGAACTGTTGCTTGAGAGGAATTTAGAGGCCACAGCTGGCTACAAGCCAGTCTCCCCGCCCTGCAGGCCTGTCCCAGGGCTCATACCCTTCCAAGTGGACTTAGTGGTCCAGGCCATGAAAAGACTTCATGCGTGGGGTGTAAAGCTGTTTAAAGGGAATCTCTCCTTGGTGTCCAGGGGGTGGCTCATCCAGTGCTGGAAGTAATTTCAGACTGGAAGTCTTTCCAAATGACTTTGTTTTCCACATTTGAGAAGTTAAGAATTGAATGTCTCCTGTGTCTTAGAAGAATGGAAGGCAGGCATGACATTCTAGGATAATGTACCATTTTATTAGCTGGCATCGGCACTTTCTTAAAGGTATTGTTGACCTGAGAAGTAATGCTCAAGCTGACATTGGATTCCTAAGATCGGGATAATCATAACAGTATTTTTTAGTTTGCGTAGCACTTGTACTTTGCCATGAATTTCCTTGCACATTACCGTGAATTTGCAGGATGGGCACACATGGACACACACACATCATTGAGGCAAAACTCTAATTGATTAAAAATAAATTTAAGGGCACCTGGGTGGCTCAGTCAGTTAGGCGGCTGCCTTCGGCTCAGGTCATGATCCCAGGGTCCTGGGATTGAGTCCCACATTGGGCTCCCTGCTCGGTGGGGTGTCTGCTTCTCCCTCCCCCTCTGCCTCCTGCTCCCCCTGCTTGTGCGCTCTCTCTCTCTCTCTCTCTCTCTGTCAAATAAATAAAGTCTTAAAAAATAAATAAATAAATTTTTAAAAGTTACATATGATGGAGTGAATTTAGCCAGCCTGCCTCTGGGTATTATATTTGATTCCCAGGATTCTCTTTGTTCAATAGTTTCTTCTGTCCGTGTGGACATCTGTGGGTGCACTGGTTTCCTGATAATGGGTGGACTGCATATCGACTTTTATGGGAGAAAGCAAAGGGCATAGCAGAGCAGGCAGGTTGTTTGCCTTTGGGGCCAGTGGGCAATAACATTTTGAAAACTAGAAAAGGCAAGGGAATGGTGCCAAGGGTGATGGCCTGTGCCTGGTTCGTCAGACCCCTACTGAGGAGGCTCCCAAGGCCTCTTTTTGC